GGTTCTCTTCTCCAGGCTGAACAGCCCCAATGTTCTCAGCCTGGCTCCATACGGTAGGTGTTCCAGTCCCCTGATCATCTTCATGGTCTCCTCTGGACTTGCTCCAACAGCTCCATGTGCTTGTGATGTTGAGGACACCAGAGCTGCACACAGTGCTGCAAGTGGGGTCTCACAAGAGCGGACTAAAGGGGCAGGATCACATCCACTAGATGTGACTGCCTCACCTGAGCAGCTTTCAGACATCACCTCCAGCCCTTCTCCTCCAAGTTTTTCTCCTTTTGGTGAAATTATGGTGATTACAGCATCGTTAGGGCATCACATAGAAACTTCTTAGGCTGGAGCCCAGCCCTATGGTCCCACGTGCATTGAGGCTTTCTCCCAGTTCCTAGTAGAGCTCCTAAAGCTGCCCTTGGAAGTGGTGTGGAGGCACCATCCTGAACTGATCATACAGAGAAGACAGCTGCTGGAGCAAACCTGATCTTTCCATGTGGATGCTATATCTGATTTGGATCAGAAGTGGTGGCAGGATGGGATGTGAAACTTCCATCATCTGAAATCATTAAAGCCGCTTGGCCTGCATGGGCACAGCATAAACCTTTTACAGTAGAAAATGTGTTTAGGCTGGTAATACTCCCAAATGGGGCCATTCACTGCGGAATTTATCCCTCATTTTATCTAAGGGAGATCCAAGCTGCACATGGATCACTGAAGAGTTCCGTTCAGGTACATCTAATCCATTTCCTAAGTGAATAGTTTGGCTGCAACTTTCATGCTCAGAGTAACATGATTCACTGTTCTTGGCCTGGTTTCCTAAGAAGGTGGGCTTGAGGACTTGCCTTGCTTGTCCATATTTCTGTATTCTCCCAGTAATGTTTCTGTCTTTTGGACTATTTCAGCCAATTTAGAAAGGACAGAAGTGTAGGAAGGTGATCACCTTTCTATAGGCTTTGTGAGAACTGCTGCTGGGAAGAATCCCAGGTCAGGCCCTCTTATTATAGAGCATATATTTAAATCTTCAAGTGAGAAAAGCAGGGGAAGAGAATGTCTTACTTTACCCTTGCTGATATCACCTGTCACAAATCAGGGATATGGGAACGACGTGCTAATATCATTGCTCCTTGGTTTTACAAGGCAGTAATTCAACACTGGCATACATAGACTATGCAGTGCAAGGCTAAATGGTTACTGGAGTGAAGGGATGAGATTATTGCTGATGAAAACCAGGGAATTGGAGCTATTGGTATTGTGAAGATAATAAAAGAGAGGAGAAACACGATTGTCCTGTTTTAAAGGGTCTGTGTGCTGACACATCTGTACTCATTTGGGATCCCTACATCAGGCTCTGTCTTCTCTGTGTGCTTGTAAAGCACGGGCTCAGCCCTGCTGAAACAGGATATTTCCCAGCTTTGGGTGGTATAAACACCCTGGAATTTATCCATTCTCTGTGGTGATGAATCACCAGGGGTTCCCAAATGCTTCCACTGGCAACTTCCCACTTCTGGTCCAGAGCCCAGCTTCCTGCACATGAATTTGTCAGGCTTTTAAACACTCAGTACTACAGTCTGGTGGGTGGTGAGCCCTGTTCTGGAGCTGCTGGGCTGTACCTTGGTGTGGCTTTCACCTAACTGCAACCCACTGTAGCTGCACCCGGGTGGGGTTTGTCCTCTTTCCCACAGTGATAAATGGACTATGAATTCCTGATGAGGCTATCCCTGGATATAAGAGGTGCTCTCATCCAAAGCTTATGTTTCATGGTGACCCTCCTGCAGTCTCTTAGACTTTGTCTCCTGAGGTCTCTCTCTCTCTTAATTTTCCCAGCCACTTGTAATGATCAGATCGATCCCTTCCTGTTCACTACTGGGAGCATCAATATGGAAGAGGAGCACCTCAGTGACAGAGCAAAGTGCTACAAAACAGCTCCAAAAAGCTTCTGGGAATAGGGAGTACCCCTGCACCTAAAGGGTGCATTGGGTATCCCCTACAAGGAAGCTGTTTGGCACTACTGGGATCTCCCCTGCACTAGTGAGGAGTATCCTTAAGGAGGGATAACTATAATAGAACTCAGCCAAATGGTGGAAATGTGATTGACTCCTCAAGCTGATCAGAGCCAACAGCCGTTATGTGGAACATTTGCTCCCACCCTGCATGCAGCTGCATGCTCCACTATTTATGGGCCTGGCTCCAATGGGAATTAGGGATGGTGAAGTACTACCAGTGGATTCAGTTACTGCCTGAGATCACTGCAAATGGTGCAGCAAACTGGCTGCAGAATGAGCTTTTCACAAGGGCTGCCTGACACGTGTCCTGCCAGCAAGAAATTCCCCAGCTATGAGGAGATGGAGCTAAATGGCTCTCCACATTCCCTTCCTAAGGCTTTCAAATTGGTTTTGGTGCTGCCTTTGTGCCTTCTCCATCACTGGCTGTCCGAAGAAGGAAGCAGAGCAATGTACTGTCATCCACAGGCTTCAAGGGTGGCCATGCATTACAGGATCTGATGTACTTTCTAGCCAGATTTGCCATCTTTCACCCTCTGGGGGAAGCAGAGGGAATGCTCAGTGTCTGAGCATGAATGTGTCCCATCCAGCACAGAGAGGGGCAGAACCAGATGCCTCTTGTGCCTCTGGAGTTGAGGAAAGTCTGAAAAAATAACTTAATCCTCTTCTCCCCTTTCTGCCGGCAACTCTTGGCATCTAGATGGCCCAAATACTGGGGATGAGGTTTCCCTCTGGTGGTCCTGGGCTGTGCTCACACGCTTGCTCCCTGTGAGATATGCAGGGAGGGCACAGGTTTCCTTGTGCTAAGCTGGTTATGCCTTCCTCTCACATGGCATTTTGCCTTCCCCTTGCTGTTGTGCTGTACACTGGATTTGTGCAGTGTAAAATCCACTGAGTGGGTGAAGGGGGGTGAGGAGAGAGGTAAAACCAGAAGTGTGTTCAGGCAGATGTGCTGCAGGAGGAAACAGTAGGGACCACTATGCTGGGAGTGAAACCAACACTTGGGAACACAAAGCTTTGTGGGTGAGGCAATAGCAAGCTTTGTCTCAAAGCTGCAGCTGTAATGACAGCTTTTGTTCTGCTTTTCCTGAACAGCTTTTGCGGGAGTGGTTTTGATTCTGAAACAGCAAAAATCCTGTGGGATGCCAAGATGCGATGGTCCTCTTTGGCTTTCAGAGCAGCTGTGCTTTGCACCTGACACAGAGATCTTCATCCTCTGCTTTCAAAGGTCAGTTGTGCCATTGAGTACCGTGATGATGGGAACCTGCTCTAAGGACGCAGGACTCACTTAGAGGCTATGCACTTCTGAGGGGGGTCCACGTTTCTCCCATCTCTGTCATCCCACACGGTATTCCAGTACAGCCTCACCTGTGTGTGCCCTCTGGTTTGAATGACATTCCCAGGGCTACCCAAGAGCTGAACCACAACTCTCAGGTGGGATTTAGCTGCCAGGGATGCTTGGCAGTGGCTGGGTGGCTCATGCTGCTGGGCTGCATTGCCACCTGCTGGGCCCACCCAGCCCTTTCCAGAGGCCACCAGGACCCAGCGTTCCTGCTAGGGGCCAGCCTAGCTGTGTCCCAAGCATGTTGACAAACCATGTGGATCAGCCCGTCAGTGCCATGGGTTAGTGGTGGCCTTGGCAGTACTGGGGAACGGTTGGACTGGATGAGCTTAAAGGGCTTTTCCAACCTGGTTGATTCTATAAATGTATCCTTCCTCAGATGCTTATTTTGTGCAGATCTGCTGCCTCCTCCTCTACTGGGTTTTGTCTTCAGTCACTTCACAATGTTGTAACTCAAGGGGTTTAGATTTCGTGGTCTGGGTATAGGTCTTCCATTCAGGTTTTTTTGATGCAGGGGACACTGTGGCAAAGGGGCTCAGGAATTCTGGGCAGGAACATGAGGAACCCGAGTTGTTCTTCCCTGTAAGAAATAACTCATTGAAACAAAAAATCTCTTGCAACAGATCAACTGCATGTGCTGGGACAAAGGGAAAATTGTGAAATACTCTTCACACTCAGGGTGGGTGGGAGGCCAGTGAGCCGCCAGAGCAGCTATTGTGGCATCTCTTGATCTCTTTGGACATGAATCCTCGTCATAAAGTTGGGGGTAAAAATAACACAGAGTTCAGTAGTTTTGGTGTTTTTATTAAACAGTGCTCCACAAAACACTTGTACACCAATACACATGTACGCTGATGATCCCCTGACCATCAGTGTACCAACCCTGGGACTTGATGCTGCCATGGCACCAGGCTGCAGGAACCATCTCCTTTGCAGCAGCAGTGCCCAGAAGAAACTCAGGCTCAGAGCAGTGTCCTGCACTGCCATCACACCAGCAGGCCTCATGTCCTACAGGATCCTACCCCCAAACCGTCTGATTAGCCAAATCCTGCCCTCAGGGTTGTGCTTCCTCCTTTCCAGTCACCTTCCTGTGTTGTTTAGGCTCTGTGAATGATAGGGAAAGGTCTGCATGAGCTTGAGGCTTCTGACAGGGATACCCAGCCCAAAGCAGATTGAGCTTCTTTGCATTTCAGGCCGTCTTTGGATGAACTTCCAGAAACGTGATGGCAGCAGGAGGCTGGGTTTTGAGGAAACAAACAGCCTTCCAGGAATGGTTTCTACTCCTTGCTGGAGCAGCCCATCCAGGAGGTTCTTGAGGGTCTGCCTATGCTACCTTGCACTCAAGCACGTGGGAGCTAGCTGTGTTAGTGTGCCAGGTTTGGTCCTTCTGCTTCACTGTCACTGGTGCAGGAGTGCTGGCTTGGAGGTTGCTTGTGCAGGCTGAGGAGCTACTCTCAAACAGCACCAAGCACTATGGCTGCATCAGTAGCTTTTTCACTGTGCTCAGTGCTTAGCTCATGCTCAGTGCTAAGAACGTCCTTTACAGGGTCAAGTCCCTTGCAAGTATCTGATCTGCTCAATGGGTCAAACCTATTTAACCTAGAGCAGATGTTCCAGTTCCAGGTGGGTAGATGTGTAGTTGCATATCAAACTACAAGAAGCAGTAACAAGGCAAACAAGTGATTCAAATTATCCAGGTTCAGGAAAGCTTATAAAAGCATGTAAACAACATCCATACAGGGAACAAGTTAAAGCTGGCAGAACTCAGTGGAATACATTGCTTTTCCCATGCTGCTGCTGGTGGGCCTGGCACCACCTCTCACCCATCATATTCATATACAACTGTAACAAAAGACTTCATAATAAACCTTCAAAGCTAAGCAGAAGAGACCACACCAGAAAGCATGCTTAGCTCACTTTTGGAGTTTACCATTAGATAATCAATTGCCTTTTGCAAGGTTTAGCATAACGTGGCAAATAGGCACAAAAGCCAGTGGATTATTTGTCTGTCACTGGGAAAAAATGCACAGAAGTTATACATAGCCTTTGTCTTTAAAGCAGGTAAGTGGAAATTCAGGACAGACCCAGCTATGCCACCTGCAATTTGATGTTTAAAAAACATATACAAAGTCTCCACAGCCCATCACATTTGCTTTATGTGGAGCAGTCCAGATACTGAACTGCCTGCTCCCTGGGTGTTCAGGCAGGAAACTCTTACAAGCAGCTTGCAGGCCAGTAGTGCCAGTTTTTCATCTTTTGTTTTCCAAAGGCAACTACATTCCTGCTGGTATTTGTCAGCACAAAATAATAAACAGCCAAAGATGCATTCAATAGAAAACTTTCACCCAGGAAACAGGATACAGGAAATGGGATACAAAAAATAGCAGAACACTCTAGCCAACAGAATACTGTGTATCTTCTCCCTGCTCCCACCTGCAGTCCTGTGTTTTTAAGACACCAGCCAAACCTGCATTCTGTCTTTTAAATGGAAACAATGCAGTGAGATGACCAGAAGTATTAGAGAACTCAGCATGCCCTCAGGAGGACGGGTTTCCCTTCAGTTAGGTGAACAACGACGACTTCGGAAGGAGGAGAAAGCGGATCCAAACTGCTTTTCCAAGTGCAGATGGATTCAGGCATGAAACTGCCAAGCTCAGATTTAGAGTTCAAATGCAGGGAACTTGGCCTTGGTTGGCACCAGCAGGTCAGCAAGGAAATAAATCGTTCCAGCCATTCCTGAGGGTCAGAAAACACAATGTGCTTCAGAGAGATTCCCCGTGGGCACCCTTTCTATCAGGGGCTGAATGGGTCATGAAGACAGAAGAAAGAAAGACGTTTTCAGAAGGTCCTATGAAGTTTCACAAACAACTTAGGTATGCCAGTGGGGAAGCCTCTTGAAGTTCGTCAGACGTTGAAAAGCACCTGATGGGTCTTCCCCCGTCCAGTTCCCCCCCTTATGCTTTACTTATCCACAGGTTTAACAATATGACTGTCTACGCAAAACTTTGGACCCTATGACATTGCTGCCTCAGGTCCCTACTGAGGAAACTGCCCTTGTCCCTTGGCCTGTGACAAAGGCAGGAAGATCTCTGTTAGCTGAGGAACCTGCTCTTTCAGCAATACCAGCTGATGGTGGATTTTGGGGGGGGCTGTTAGCAGGAGCCATAAAGTGCCATAGGAACCAATGAGGCTTACAAAAGCAGCCCCATTTGTTACTCACCTTTGGAATGGCACTGGAAAGCCCATGAACGATTTTAGTCCTTAAAAATGCATGGAAAAGAGGCTGTCCAAGAAACCAGGATACAGATTACCATAAGGCAGGCTTTGGCCTGTACCCATTATGGAATTCCCCTTGGCACCTGTGCGCAGAATTTGTACAAGAGGCCAGAGAGGACGAGATGCTCCAGCTAAGACAGCCTGTGCTGAAAGCAGACTGCTTCTGGGAAAAAGGGTAAAAACAGGGAATACAATTTCCTTCCCATCTTCTATACTGACTTTTGCAAACAATTCAGTGGAGCACGTATTTGGGTTTCTTTGGTGCTGTACTGGCTCAGACCCAAGAGCAAAACACAAGCCTAGAGATGCAGGTTACCTTCAAAGAGAGAGAATGGAGTGTCTGGAGTCCGGCACCCATGCTGGCCATAGCTTAAACACCACTCTGCAAACTGAGGAAAGAGGAACAAAAGGTGTTCAGGTTTTCTTAACGACAGATCTTACAATACCACCCTCATCCTCACATTATTGTGTCCAGAGCAAGGCTTCTGCAGGATGTTCCTTCTCTACAGGCTGTCAGACAGTGACTGTGCTGCTGGAGGACTACTCTGGTGGAGCTGCTCAGATCTGAGTTGCATCTCTGCCACACTAGAAATTAGGACTTCAAAGGCAATGGCAGTGATGTAAAAGGTAGAAGAGAATGATCCCCTTTCCCTTCCTCACACAGGCTCTTACCTTGCAGGCCCTGTAAAGATATTTCATGTTCTGAGTGAGGTTATACAGTGCCAGGAAGCTGTAAGCATTGCCAGCTGTGCCATGGCACAGTCCATAGCCTTTCTTCAGTAACCCATACTGCCAGATGACTTCTGCACACTGCAGGGCATCATTTAGGTACTGCTGCTCCCCAAAGACCTGTAGAGACATGAAATATTCCCCCTTACTGAGGCAATTTCCTCTATACAAAGAACATCCCTGTGTGATGGGGAGGCTTGGGTTAATTGGTCACTTTCCTTCTGAAGTCTTAATGATAAGACTTTGCTCTCTGCTTTAAAGAAGTATGGTTTTGATATGATGAATGGGGCTGTGTGATCATTACTTTGCATACTGTTGTCATCAGTCAGCTGCAACAGGACACCCCATGCAGCTGATGGCCATTTTCAGATATAATTTTAAGAGATTGATTTCTCTATCAGTCAGTGGTCCCCATGGGATGCTTTCATTTTAACCAGCAATCCTACTCTCAGGCAGGCAGGGTCTCAACAGACCCTTCTCCGTGATGGAGTTCCACATTTAGGGATTCCTAAAGGGTCTCTGCAAGATTTCCGGTACCTTGTAGGCCTGGAGAAGCATGTAGATAACACCTGGTGCTCCGTGGCACCAGTGCACGAGTAGGTCTCTGGTGTCATTGATGCAGGGAGGGTAATTGCCAGATGGGAACTTGAGCTGGCAGACGTAGTCCACACTGGGTTTCACTGTGTTGTGCAGTTTTACTTGGCTTACTCCAAGGCCAGGCTAAGAGACAGAAAGCATTAAATCAGGGAGGATTACCATTCTCTCTATCCCCAAGAGGCCCAAGATCTGCGTGAAAGGCAGAAACAAAACCAACTGTGGTCATGGTCCCCTCTTGCTCCTTGTAAATCAAGTACTTTTTTGTTCAGGCTTTCACACATCAGAAATACTCACTTGGCCTGAGGCTGCTCTGCCCTTCTGAGGAGACTTATCTCCAGTCATATGCTTGCACCCCCAGAGACAAAGACTGCCCTGGCATGTAATCCAGCCCTCTAAGGAAGGGTGCTTGCTCCTGAATAGTTACAGGTACCCACACTTGGAGTAAAGAGGTAAACTGTCTAAAATCAGAATTAAGGATGAATAGAAGGGCATCCTTTTACAAAAGCCTGTAGGGACAAGAGGATGGCTTTATGGCTTTAACCTGCTAGAGAGGAGGCTGAGATGAGCTCTTAGGCAGAAGCTCTTCCCCGTGAGGGTGCTGAGGCGCTGGCACAGGGTGCCCAGAGAAGCTGTGGCTGCCCCATCCCTGGCAGTGTTCAAGGCCAGGTTGGACACGGGGGCTTGGAGCAACCTGCTCTAGTGGAAGGTGCTCCTGCCCATGGCAGGGGTTGGAACTGGATGAGCTTTAAGCAAGGGGGTGACTTCACTGCTGACCTCAGATAGAAGCAAGGGAGTGACTTCAGTGTCCTCTTCTAATGACACTGCTGCATATGCAATCTGTGCAGCTTAATTTCCCACTGCAGGCTGCAATGAGCACTCTCATCTAAGGATCACAATGTTCCCAGGCTGAAAACTTGAAAGTTGAACGTCAATACTTGTGTTGTAAAACTATTAGAGATAAAAGTTCAGTGCTGTCCTCTCCGTTATTTCCTGTGTTTGCTTTCCCCAAGGCTTTCTGTGCATCCTGCTTGGCTGATCCTGGCTCCCTGTACATCATACAGCTGAGAAGCTTGAAGCCCATGCAGTATTTTATGGGAGACTTACAATGATTTAAAGCATCAGCCTGGGAACAAGTGCAGGGACTTGGTGCACATTTGAGCTCACAGCATATTGCTGCCTTCCCTGTTCCCAACTAGCTCTTCTGTACAGCTTGCATCCGCCTCTTGTCAAATCTCATTCTATTTAAACACCACCAATCACCCCTTCCTCTCTGAGTCACATGAGGGGGTTATATTCACAGGAACTCTGTTTATCCGGTGTATGGGCTTGAACTTTCAGGGCCCTGAAGCAAAGTACTTGAAATCTGGTGGCTTATTTTCCACCTGCTGTGAGACTTGGGTCTAATAAAAGATCTCACCTATTTCTATGAACATTGCTATGCTAAAATCATCGGCCTTGCTCAGTGGGTGCTCTTAATACTTTGAAAATGCAATGTTATTTATTGCTGTTGTTCTTCTAAGAGCTTAAGCACTGTGAATTTATGCACAGCGACCCACAGAGGGGAATTACGACCCTATATACAGGCCCTGATTTGGAAACAAGGGCATTTCCCACATCCCTGCGATGAACACAATCTCTGCTGGTATAATGCAGGTCACATTTCTCTACAGATCTCACTGGAGGTGGGAAATTCAGTCTCACAGACTCAGAGAAAACCTTTAGAAGCGGAGATTCATGATCAAACACAGGAATAAGTCCATCAGACAAAGGATCTGGCCCAGCTTGGCATCACCAAGAGTGAATTCAATTGCTCCTCCCTGTTCAAAGAAACATGAAACAGCTGCTAAAGGCCCTTCCTCTCCAGTGCCTTTTACCTGCATGAGATAGTAGTAAATCCCAGCCAAACCATGGGCTGCTCCTACATAGTACTCCTGGTACCACTCATACATCAGCGGGCTCTTTGCTGTGAAGTTCCTCCTTTTGGCCAAACTCTCTCCTGAGGCAACAACAGCTTCACAGACCTGTGGAAGGGAACAGATGCAGGTGAGGGATATGCTACTGCCTTGGACACAGCAGAGTCAGTATCCCTACCACAATAACAGAGTTGGTTTGCTGCCCAAGCAGAGGGAAGAGTGTGGGTGAGGGAGTGAAGTGTATGGCCTATGGATTTATATGGATGGGGGTGGTGGTGGTGCTTCATCCCTTTGGAAGAGCAGCAGGAATACCATGGTGTGGTATATACCCTTGTTGCACACTGTTCTCTACATCTAGCATTGACTATTACCTGCCCAAAGATGAGCTGCATGGGAAGAGACAGCTAAAAAGCCAGAAGAAGCCGCAGTACCTGCTGAATGTGACTCTGAGGGATCTTTTCCTCTCCGAAGTGCTTGTTCACGAACATCAGTGCATAGAGATAGCCCATGCGCCCGTACAGCAGCTCATCTGGCACTCGGGGGTCGAGCTTGTGAAGGTGGAGCAAACTGCAAACATAAATTCACACTGGAGAGATTAGAGGCCGCTCAAAGCCACTTAACTAAGCAGTGAGACTGGAGCTCAAGACCATGGTTTGTTCCTTCATGTTGCCTGCACCCTAGGAGGTGCCAGTCTCCCCTCTGGGTCTCAGCCTTCCACCAACACAAGGTGTGAAATCCCTCCTTCCCCTCTGCTTTTTGTTTGGCTTATTGCTTTATTCTACTCAGATTTTACAATGTACTCATACTATATGTTTGGTTACTTGTGGGAAATCCTGCGCTATAGGAAACGTTCCGCATAAAGTTGCTGACTGCTCAATTCAGCATGAATTACCACCCTATGGTGCTGTTGACAAGGCAGACCCTCAGCCAAAAATGACTGTTTTCAAGTAAAACCAGTATCTGTTTAACTTGGCTGCTTGAGGAATGCTAAAAAGTCAAACTAGTGCTGACAGTATGTGGGAAAACTCTCACCTCTTGTGCTTATAAATCCTGATAGGAAAGCCCCTTTCTCTCCATGCCTGCAAATAGGGCTCTGCTGTCAGTGGAGAAAGAGGTGTCTCCATGAGCTAAACGTCTAGGTAAGAGGTGGGGAGAAGCAGCTGAAAACGGTGTTTAACATCAAGCCTCTGTGGTACTGATGTAAGCACCCACCTCTCAGGAGAGCTGAGCAGTAGTGAGGACAGCTCAGCAGTGAGTGCTGTGGGCTGTGTCTGTGGTACAACCCCACACCAAGGGGGTTGTTGCAAAGGAAAGAAGTAACTAAATGTCCACAGTACCCTCAGAGCAGAGAGAGGATGCCGGTCTGTGACTCCCCGCAGCAGGAAACGTTCCTTTGACACTGGACTCAAAGTGAGCAGGGATACTGAAGGAGAAAACAGTGTCTCAGAGTGGATGGGCCTCATCTCCTGTACTACTTGAGATGTGCATTGCTCCACGTGGGAGGTTTCTCATGGATTAAACCCAAGAGACAGATTTTACATCCAAGACTAGGAGGAGTAAGCACAAGGTCCCTCTCAGCTGTGTGGCCTGCAAGGAAAAAAGCCCTGCTACCTCCTCATGTGCTCTGCCCCCAAGTCCAAGGAAAGCAGATGAAGAGGAGGGTTTCCAAGGAGGAATAGTGTTTCAACAGATAGACTCTATTCTGGCTGGTGATGTTTTTCAGCTCTGAGATGTCAGGAGGATGTCAGGTGCAACAGAATGAATGGATGGGTGGATAAACAGTACTACCCGCAGTGGGGACTTTCTGAGGTCTGGATGTGAGATCATTTTGTGGGGAGCTCTGGAGCTACTATCCTTGTAGTGTTACTGCTTCTAACTTGAGGTGCTTTTTCAGGCAGCATCATCAGGGGAGGAAGCCTGCCAGTGATTTCTGGGTTTGAAATGTGGGGCAGGGCTGTATGGCATGCGTGCAGCCAGAGACGCCTGGGATGCTGCTGGACTGACTGCATGCACAGTGCATTTCTCAAGTGTGAGGGGGTAAATCAAGGTCCCTGAAAGGAAGAGCCACTCCTGCTCACATACTGCCTCAACTGTCAAAAATCACTAGTTTCTGGCCCCAGGGCAAGCGAGGCAGCTGTAGAGCAGGACGGGATATTTGTATCTACCAGCTCTAAAAGCCAACCTTTGACCTTCTGAATTGGTGTAAGACTGGTGGGAAAAGAGGACTCCTGGACCATGGCTCAGATTTTCACAGGCTCTTGGAAAATGGGCTGCCCTGAAGCACTAGTCTCCAGAGCATAAACACACATTTGTTGGTCATGAACTCATTTAGGCAAGAGCAAGGAGCTAAGGAAAAGCAAGCTTCTGTCTATTCCACTGCAGGTAAAACCTGGCTGATCGATTCTCTCCTCGGGCTCTGTAAAGATGAGGTGCTTTAAAAGACAGAATAAAATGGAGAGAGGCCTCCTTCTCCCCAGCTGCAATGGAGGGGCACTTTCTATGCACCTGCACTGCATAATTTAGCAACTGTTCTGTAACTAAACAGCATCCTGCAAACCCATTTAAGTGTTGTGATTAAGGGAGCTATTTCTCAACAAAATCCTCTCTTTTTAAAAGTAGCATGGTCAGGTTAACTGCTCTGGGAATTGGCAGCACACAAGGACAGTCTAACTGCTCCTGTGAGAAAGCCACGCTCTTCTTATTGCTTCCCTTCAAAATGCACGAAGAAACCAATTTCCAAGGCTCTGCCTTCATCGTGCCATTAGGTGGCAGTGCAGAATTAATCATGAGTTTCCATTCTCCCACAGAACTAACTGTAGGCAGAAGGGATATACAGAAGGGAGGGGAGAGCTGCTACAGCTAGAATTAGGGATTTTTCACAACTTGGAGCTTATGCATTGAGCACAACTGACCAGTACTATTTGACGGATTAGTTCCCTTTTTGTTAGCATTAGTGAGACATGCTACTCACTATGGGATTAAGCAAAACCTGAACCATAGCTTATTTCAAGGACAAAGAGGAGAGTTCTGTCCTCAGACTGACCGTATCCATGTAAACCAGGGTGTTAAAGAGTGTCCAAACCATACAGGCACCTGATTCCCACCCATGGCTTTCTCTAATTGCTACTATGCATCACTTGCTCATGGCTGTTTAAGGGCACTCAGTGTGTTCTGAAGCGTCAGGGGTTTTGTCTTGGTTTTGTGCTGACCACAGGTAAATGGAAACTCTTTACAGGGCTGTTTCTCACATTCTTAAAGCTGATCTCCCTTAAGCAAGAAAAGCTTGCAACTGCGTCTCCTTTACTTTCTTCCTTCCTCTGCCACATGCTGATCTGACTGTAGGACTGCTTTATTTGTCCTTTTTTTGTCTTAAGTACCCAACAAAAATACATTTGAAAACAGTTGAGGAAAGGCAAGAAATAGAAAGAAATGAATCATAACCAGCTGCATTCAGCAGTTGAAAGGATGCTGTCAATCTTAGGTTTAAGTCAAAGTCAACTAACAAATAGCAAGTGGAAGCAAGTGACAAAATTTATCTAATAACCCGACCACTTTCCTCCTCTTCATCAGAATGGTTGCAAAGCTAAATTGAAGGGTTCTGAAAATACATCAAACCTCACCTTCTGGGGTTTAATTCAGGCATTTTTGTCTTCCTGTGTTGATCAGAACTATTTTTAAGATAGCAGTAGCAGCTGAACTTGCTCCCCAGCCTGCAGGCTGCCAGGCAAGCACGTTTGTCCTTGAGCTAGCTCTTTCCCCAGGGCAAAACTAGTTTGTGCTACTGGATTATCCCGCTCATAAAGTTACAAAAAACTTATCCAGGCTTGGCAGAGAGTGCCTGGTACAAGCCCAGACCAGCTTTATGAACAAGAGGAACACTAGGTCCAAGACATAACCAAGCTTTTTACCGAGTGATGCAGTCTTCTGACTGCTTCTGGTTCTGCAGTTTGTGGTAGACAACAGCAGCCACTGCCAGGGGCCCGGCATCTCCACACAAGAACGTGATGGATCGTCTTGTCAGACAGCTCAGGCTCTTCTTTACGTACTCATGGGCAGCCTGAAGGTAGGCTGGGTCTCCATACACATCATAGAGGTGCAAATACAGCACAGCAATGCCTGCAAAAGGAACATAAAGGTTGCACTCGCCAGAAAAGTTTACCCTCCTTGCTCTCCGTCCTGGCCGTTTTAATGAACCTAAAAGCCCAGCCTCATCTAGGGCATAAGCCTTCTAGACAGGCTTCTTGAGCACATCCAGGGGCATAACCCATAGCTGCAGCATCCACAGCTTCTTTTCCTGCTTTGTGACCTCCTTGTACTTGATGCTGCTTATGAGTGGACTGCAGGTTAAGACAACCAGCAGTGTGTGACCCAGGAGGGTCTGATTACTGGTCAGTGCTGATCCTGGAGGACAGCAGAGCTTCTGATACATAGGTTACACACAATTCTAGCAGCGAGGAGTAAAAGATCAGATCTCAACAAACCCACCTAAATCTATCAACTGTACCTGGCACTGTTGCTAAACAGCAGAGGGTAAAGAAAGAATCATCTTTGGGCAAGACGGTACTTGTGGCAGAGTAGAACTGGATTGTTATTACCCTTTATTTTTTGCCAGGGCATGAGGTATAGGGCTGGGTCTCTTAGCCTGGATTGGATTTTACAAGAAGCGACACATCATCAGCACTTGGGAGCAGCACCCATAAGACTTGGCTTTTCCCCCCCACTTCATTCCCACTGGGAACACCAGTAAGGTTGTTACAGCTCTGTGGACATCACCCCCTGCTGCTGAGCAGGTCGCAAGCCCTACACCAAAGACTAGTGTGCCTACAAAAGAAAGGGGCTGCCTGACTCTCCTCTGTGGCACATCATTCATGCAACCAGCCCTTGGGTGAAACATGAATAGCTACCTGGAATGCTGGAAAAGGCTGTGTGGTTTTCCCTGCAGGTTTTCAATGGGCTGGCCAGCTACAGAAACAACTCTGCTACATCAGTTGCTGTCCTTTGCCTGTCTGCAGCCAGCTCTTGAAGCTTTTAGTAGGTGACTGAGAAGTCCTTAGTCTGTGTCTGAAGGGTCTGCCACATTTGAACCACCCTTCAGATCTGGAAGGTATCCTCAAATATGCACAGAAGAAAGCTATTGGCCTACGTTACTTTGAGAAAAGCTTATTTCTCCTTTTACCAGCATCCATCTCTAAGACACTTCAGGTCCTGCATTTAAGCCTAAATTAATAGAGTCCATCTCTGCAGACTTTGCTGAGGTAAGGTGAAAGGGGACAAGATGCTGCAAAATTAATTTCCATGGTACTGAGGACAATTTCAAATGTTGGTTGTTTTCTCATTTTGCATGGGTAATCTCCAAAGCCTCATGCTACAGACAATTCAATTCCACATGTATATTAAGGGCAAGTTTCTATTTCCTGCTGAAGCTAATAACCTTGTCCTCTCTCTAAGCAGTTCAGTGTTAGGTTAGTTATTTCCAGAGAGAGCTGAGATGTATGGTGCCATCACTCAAGTGCATAAGGATGTGCATATGAAGCCCATCTTTAAAGGGGAACCCTCCTCTTCCAGCTTGCAGATGTCAAGTGACTCTCCTTGATTTATTTAGCAGCTAGCACAGCTTCTAGACTTTAACAGGCCTGAGAGCTGTCTGAGCACAATGTGCACTCTTGACTTACCTGCTTTAATATACAACTTTGTGCTTTGGAAGTAGCTTCTATTCCCACTGCCATCGTACTACCCTCGTTACATACGTAACTACCACACTAAGACCACTTCCAGAACTGAATTCTTAGAAAGTCAATGTCTCAGCATTGTTTTCCTCTGCCTTCTTTGCCTCTCCTCTTTTATAGTGTATTTCCCTCCCTTTCCTCCAGGCCCAAGCATCTTTGGGAAAGGTTCTAAAGAAACACTGACCTATACTAAAAGATGAAAGGGGTAAGTTGCTTCCCCAAATCATTCATTTTCCCTTTTACTTCAAAACCAAAGGCCTTATAAAATGAATCTAAAGCAAATTTCCTCAACTCAGTCCTGAAGGAATTCATACTCCCAGGCTGATTAGAAGGCCCAATGCAGTGCTGCTTTCAGCCCACTGCTAGGAGCCCAAAACTAGTGGAGGGCAGGCCCATGCATGAAGAAACAATGTTTAGACATGTAGAGGAATACAAAATACAGTCAGCTGGGTGGGGATTCTCCTATATCCTGTGTGCCAAGATACAGGAAGTGTATTTCAGAGCTTGGAGACAAGAGACTTTCCACACCTGATGAACTAGGCTCAGTGAGAGGGTGTTCTGCAGAAGCTATTCCACAGATCCCTCTAAAGTAATACCTTCTTCAGTCTGACTGATAGGGTGTTTGGTATGCAGTAAGTGCTACACAAACATGGCATCATCATTCAAATGTGGCTAGATAAGCAGTGTATCTGCTCCATTTCTGTGTTCAGTGCCCCAGTTGGAAATATGACCTATTTTTGCGACCTCTGAGTCTCCTGGTTGCTTCCAACAGCACAGTGGCTGCCTGTGGCCCGCTACTGACAAAGATGTATGGGCTTTGATCTGTTCATTGGTTACTCTTGGACCTTTTTCTGTGTAGTTTCTCCAGACTTCCAAGTTTTTTTTGCTCCTTGAAGTGCATGGAGCCAAAATGCTGCTGCATAGCCACGTATGAAGGAGACTGTATCAGACATCACTTGATGGTGCAGGACTGCAGCAAACACGTGCTACTGACATACCCTTCAGCAGGGCTCTGATGACTGAAACTGTTGTCGCTAGTATGCAGGAAGCCAATACACCGGAGTGTTAATGCTTGAGGTGGTTGCTCACTGCAGGGAATCAGGAGGCAAAAATGAGTTCTGTGTCTTTCACAAAACCTGTTTATTTAACATCTTCAGTAGGATAGTCAACAACATCTCTTGCCATCCTGTATGAGGAGTACTGTAGAGGCAGAGGGGTGATTTGCCTTAGAGATTTCTTCTTAGGTGGGCAAAGGAGGAGACTTAAATCTACATAGTAGAAATGGGCTTGTCTGCACCAGTTGGCTAGAGCTGATGGCCCTGACTTTAGCAACCATTGCTTTCAACAGAGCAGACATCACTGGAGGTACCAGAAAAGTTCTTGCTTGAGAGCTAAAGCGCTGTAGCAGGCTAAAAGAGTAGCTCCTCCAGATAACTGTTCTGCTGATCAAAGCGCAGTAAAGATGCACCTCAGCTTCCTTGTGTTACCACTGCAAACAGTTCTGCCGGTGGGAGAACAGCACTAGTGAGACAAAGCTTCCCCTTCAGGCTGAACAGAGAGGACAAAAGTGAGAGGTGTCAGCACCACTGCAGTCCCCTTGCTGACAACACCAGCAGAGATGCCCATTAGGCTGTTCTGAACATGTCTCCTTGTCCATTAGAAGCTGAGCTGCAAAGTGGTCCTTTCACAAAAGGCACTAGGTTGTCACGAGAGGATTTCTTGATCTAATTTGGACCGTTTCAAAACCTGCCATCTACAGTAATAAAGAGCTCTGAGATCTTGCACTGATCCAGGGAAGTAAGCACCCTCACAGCAGGGTGTCAAACAGAGAGAGCAAAAGTGGGAACCCATCTCTGCACATAGTGATGGAGCCTGATGTCATTTTAATGAGTTAGGCGTGTGGTAAGTTACAGAGGGGATGGCATAGCTTTACTGCCCAGCTCAAAGGAGAAGAAACATCTTTTCTGGTGCAGACACATGGGATATTGTATTTATAAATATGTGCCAAAGCCATGCTGAATGGGACAATGAGACATCTCTGGAGAACTGTATTATGCCATGTCCAGAACTGCCTGGTGACCCACAGGTGCATTTGACTACTGCTTGCTTTTCTAGTGCACTGTGGGACATGAGGCATTTCTTAGGGTGCCTCAGCTCCTCCAGCCTTAAAACCTGGATAACAAAACTTCTTTTGTAAAGCAGAAGCATTTCCCTAAAAAAAAACCCAAAACAACCCCAAACGAACAAACAAACAAACCCCAGCTCAGGGCAAACCAAAACGACCCATTACCTCATCACAGAACCCTGCAACATGTTAGGTTAGAAGGGATCTATGAAGGTGATTTGATCCAACCCTCTGAAAGTAAGTCCAACTTCAAATTTATATCCCATTGTTCTGATCCTTGTCCAGTCAAATACAAAGCCCAGAAACAGAGATGTCACAAAAAACAACTCACCAAGTGCTTGGCAGCAGTGTGGTTTATGTGGGTGACACAAGGCACTCTATTCTCTCTCATCAAATGCAGCCTCACTGGCTCTTATTCTGCAGGGATTGTCTGAGGATTTCTGTTTTCCTGAACAGAACTCTCTGTTGATGCAATTTCTCTGGGTTCTGAGAGGAAAACGAAGATATTAAACTAAAATGAAGGAAAGGGGTTTTTCCAGAAGCTTTCCTGGTCTGGTCAGGATTTCTATCCATTCTTAAATGGCTTTTATTTCATCTGGTGTGCCTTTTGAAGAGCCCTTTCAAAAGGCAACTCAGCCCTGTTCCTTGTCTCCACTTGCCAGCCAAAAGCTGTGGATGGGGCAGGCCACCTGGACTCACCAGTCTCCGAGGCCCTCAAGCGCCAAAAGCCACAACTCTGACACTGCTAGAGAAGGGAATGCTCGCATGGAAAACAAGTTCCAAAGGCACTGCCATAATGTGGAGGAAGGGGAATCTCTCCCTTATATACCATTTCAGATGGCAGATCACTCTCATTGTCTGAGAAGGACACAACAGTCCAGCAGGCACTGGACTTGGGAGCTTCCCAGGTTCTGCAGCCAGCCAGGTGACAGGAGTGAAGTCAGTCTTCTTCCATTCCCTTTTCATTGTCTCTGCTTCCAGCCAAGGTAGTCTTTGGTGCAAGTCCCCATGCACTATAAGAAATACCATCACACAGAGTATGTGCTCTTCAGCATCCTCATGTGAAAATGGATGAGACAGTTGTAGTTCTGCCAGGATTTGAACTCATTCTGATCCAGGATTAGCTGGTGGCAGTTTACCTTCCCTCAGTCAACTCTTTGATACCAGTGAAACAGATTAAGATCACAAAAAATCTTACAGCAGTCTGGCTAAACTGCTTAAGACAGAACACAACAGCCAAGTCTGGTCTATACCCAGCCACGTACCTCATGCTGCCTATGGACCTTGGTCTCTATGGAGAACTGAATGAAACTAACAAGCCAATTCAAATTTGTTTTGAGGGCATTCAGCCGTATGCTGGATAATCTTGATCCAAAATGTGTATTTACTGCCTCTGAGCTGAAAATGTAAGTTCCTCCCTCCCTCTGCTCCAACTTCACATGCCAAGAAGCCGTGGCTTCCCTAACACAAATGCTGGCTGGGGGAACAGGGCTCCATCAAGTGTGTTGGGAAAGAAGCAGGCACCAAAGTAAAACGCCAGCATATGCTGTGTATTACTGGGTGTAATGTAGTATACTCAAGTATGTTACATTTCACGCAGAGTTTGTGCTGAGAGAGCCATATTTCAAATCTCTCTTATTAGCAGTCACAAGAGTGTGGGTTGATTTCAGACTGCTGGGCAATGATTTACATGAGAAGATACTCAACAAGCCTTTTCTACATAAGCAATTACAGGGAAAAGCTGCTGTCTTGGCCCAATTAATTTTGTCTCCGGGAACCAGCACTGAATAAATTAATGTAGCTAGGATTAGAAAAGAAGGGAGGGTGGCAAAGATACAGTGTAGTATCTGCAAACTTCCCTTCGCTGGCTGTGACCTGCAGGAAATCTGCCTATGGGTTTTTTTCTAATCCTATTAGCCAAGGTAGGAAGGGTGTGTTCCAATGGGGAATGATCCCTGTGAGGAAGAGAAGAATCCCTCTTGAGAAACTCCCTTCCAAATAACAGTGAGCTGAAATCCTGACAGCGCTCTCAAACACTGCTTCAACAACTGCAGTTACTGTCCAACATGAAGCCACCCTAAGGAAAGGAATACAGCCTCTGGGCTTTCAGAGTACTCCTAACATCAGCTAATTGTCCTCCTCCTTTATCTCCTGGTGAGAGCTAGACTACCATCATACCAAGTAGTACCCTCGTGATTTAAGACCATCTTTACATATGGGGTGCTTCCCATCTATGGGGACCTCAGAGCAGGGTCACACAGACTATAGGACTGAACCTGCCTCCCAGTGTGAAATCAGCAAGCACTGAAAAAGAAAACCCCTATAAATTAACAGGCAGCAGCAGAGTGCTGCCAGGCAGCAACTGATGAAATCAGTGTTCTCCCACACTGGAATTTAGTACTAGCATCCTAGCATTTCTTAGGAACTGCTCTAGAGTGCTCTCAGTCTGTCTACCTTACTAAAATTGTTAAGCTGTCATCAAGCTGCAGAGTTATTTTAGCACCAACACAACAAACACCATTCTCCCAAGCAAACTGTTGGCATCAAGTTCCACAGGATCCAAGCACAAGCCAGCCACACCCAGATCATCATGTAGAAAGTTGTCTTGCAGTGCATTGCCAAGGGAAAAAGGCAGCAAAAAATCTTGCAGTAAGCATGAGAATAATACGGGATAACTGCAACCTCCCCGGGGTCCCTCCCTAGAGCCTGGCTTGGTGTAGAAGTCAGGCAAGCTGACAAAGCACGCGGCACTAGCCAAGGATGAGGCATCAGTGAAAGGTGCATCCTCCCTGGCTCCAGTGGTAGGAATAGGGAGGGGAAGGCAAGGCATGCTCCCAAGGAAGGAAAGCCAGGTTGAAAATGCAGAACAGGAGAAAAACAAGCTCCTGGCAGCTTTGCAGACAGAAGTTAGCGTGAGGAAGGCTTCCATCCTTCATTATACACACATTTGCATTTCTGCTCCCTCCAGCAGGTACTGGAGCAGAACTAGCCCTGGCTAAGTGGGGAACAGGAACGCAGCAACCTGGCCATCAGACAACATCATGTGGTAAAATTCAGCCCAAAAAGAGAAGGTGGACATCATCTCTGGCCTTAAGCTCACCGCTGCCAAGTGCAAGGACTAAATGACCTACCACATGCATCTGCCTACTTCATGGTTTACTTGTCACCATCCTCACTGGGACCAGATTTGGATCTAGTCCCTTCGAAGGCTCCCATGTTTGCTCTCTGTTGTGTAAGTTTGGCTCTATTAACCATGAGAAGACCCTGCAACGCTACAGTCTCTGCAGCTTCAAACCTGCTCCAGAAACAGGGAGTCCTGGGAAAGCCAGCCCCTTGTTCTAATGCATTAAAACACACAGGAGCAGCACCATTCTTGACTGGGATCTACTGTGATCATTCAAACCCTGTGATCTGCCTTGGTCTGACCTAGAATTCAGCTCTGGAGAGCTCCTGTTCCACATGATCTGCTCGGCCGCACTACCTGCCCAGCCAGTGTATGCGGTGCAGTCCTGCGGGTCCGCAGACTTGAGGCCCCTCTCCATGTGCTGGAGCAGCTCCCGGATCTTGTTATTCAGCCTCTGCGTGAATTCAGGGGTCAGCTGTGGAAATAAAAACCCCCAAGCTACTAAATACGAAGGAAACACCATCAGGCGGCCGGGGTTTTGCTAAGCTGGGGATGCCCGCAGGGAGCACAACCAGGTGCTCTTTCACCTGACAGCCCCCATGGGTACCTCAGGGCCGCGCTAGCTCCCGGCTCCTCAGCCTGGCTTAGCGGCCCGGGCGGGAGCAGGCACCTCCCGGCCCCAGCCCACCGCAGCCACACTCACCCTCCCGGCAGCATCGAAGTAGCCGGTGGCCAAGGACTTGTCGTAGTCGGCATAAGGGTTCGGAAGCGCCCGCTGCGCCATCATGGTTCCGCCGGCCCCGATCCGCTCCGCTCCGCTGCGCTTGCGGCCCGCCCGCGCTCCGCCCCGGAAGGCGCCGGGTGCCCGTGTAAGTCCCGCCGCTGTCCCGCGCTCCGCCGCACTGAGGCGCCGGTGGTGGCCGAGCCCTAAGACTGGGGGAGGTGTGTGGGGTTTAGAGAGCCCGGTGTGGGTTAAAGGCCTCTTAGAGGCGCCTCTGCGGGGTTTAGAGGCGATTTTCGACTCGCCCTGTAGGGTTTAGGAAGTGATTTAAGGGTCCCTTGCTGCACCTGTAGGGTTTAGGAACACTTGTTTCTTTGCTGACCCTGTGGTACTTAGGGTCCTATGTTGCTGGTTCTGTGGTGGTTGGGGAGCTGTGTGGGATTTACGGGTAGTATGGCAATATTCTGTGGTGTTTAGGGCTCCCATGTGGCTGGTTCTGTGGTGTTGAAAGTTCTGATGAGGCCAACATTGTGGCGTTCTGGGAGCTCTCTGGTGTTTAAGGGTCTCACGTTGCTGGTTCTGTGGGGTTTCGGGGTCTTGTGGTTGGTTCTGTGGGATTTAGGGAGCTCTGTGGTGTTTAGAGCACCCTAAAACCCTAGGTCCTTTGGTGTTTAGGAGCTCTGTGGTGTTTGGGGTTGCCATGTCATTAACTCTTTGATGTTTAGGGAGCCCTGTGCAGTTTGTTTTGGCTGTCCTTTGGGGTGTGAAGACTCTGGGGGGGTTTGGGGCTTCTTGCAGCTGGCCTTGGGGGTTTTGAGGTCCTGTGGGGATGGGCACCATGGTGGGCCCTTTGGGGCTGGTGGCCCTATGCATGTGGTGTCAGAAGGTCAGTCCCAGGAGCACACGTCGGGCCCTGCTCCTCTCAGCAGCAGTAATTCCTCATGCAGGTTGGGCCTTGAGGGACAGGAGCTCTTCCTCACTGCCCCTGCTGAGCTGCTGTGTCTCACTGTGTTGGCTGAGCCGTGCCTTCCTCGTGAGGGCTGGTCCCTGCAACTCATAGTCCTGAGCAGTGCTTTGCATCTCAAATTCCACTGGTGTTGGGGGTCTCCCTGCAGTCATCCTGTGGCGGGGTACCCCTGAGCAGCCAGCCATGTTGGCTGTGTGGTAGCATTCACTGGGCAGTGTAGTCCTTATAAACTGTATTTCTGGATCCAGGCATTGCTGCCTTTCTGCTTAGTGTAACTCTGCCCAGCTCCCCTTTTCCTGACCCTGTAGGCCTGAGACGGGTTGTGACATCGTTGCTTGGGGTCTGGGCTTGCTGAAACGCAGTTCTAGAGCTCCCCAGCACTTCTAGCTCTGCAGGAAAGCCCAAATGAATGTGGCTGAGCTTGAAGCTCTTGGGTAGGTCTAAGTGTAGTGATACTGACCCTTGTAGGAGCTGAATCCATCTGGGTGGGTTTAAGGGAAACAGCTGCTGTAAGAATTTACTTTTTGGTAGTGATCAAGAGCACTCATGAGAATACTGCATTCATGCTTGAGACAATTGTATTATATAAGGGATTCTGGTTTTCTACCCATGTGTCCATTCTTTATTACAATCTGTAAAAATCAGAGCTCAAAGAAAAGAAAAAAGATATTATTGCACGAGATGGTGACAACCAAGCAGAAAAGAGGGAATCCCAATTGGATTTGCTTTCAGTTCCTTTTCACTCAGCTGTTTCTTGTTTAGAGAGTTTCAATCATGTTATTGCCTTGCATTCAAGTCAGGGAAGAGGGTTATGCAGGTCTAGCATCAGCAAAAATATCGTGGGGTCTTTTGCTTATGGCTAAATTCCCAGCCCTGTGTTATGGTTTCCCCTTCCATCTGCAGGTCAAAACAATATTCCTGCTGTCTTTCCCCCAGGCACAGTTCAGTATTAACTTCCAGCACAAGTCATTTCACCTTTAGAGTCTTTCTTTTGTCTTTGATTCCTCTTGTATTCTCTTTTTCTTTTCTTTTTCCAGATCACTTAACGACAAAGATACTTCTCCCAAATTATCCTGCCTGTTGCCAAGCAGTTTTGTTTCAGTATGTTGTTTTCTGAATGGTTATGGTCATTTGGGCTTCAATGGACCTGCTGCTGCCCAGGATAAATCCAAAGTACCTGTGACTGTCACCCAGAGCTCAGGTAAGTGACTCATGAGTCATCCTTAGTAACCTGCCTGTGCAGAACAGGGAATGAAAGAAGGAAATGAGCCTGAGAGGGGAGCTGCTCATGTGTTCTCATTGAAGTCTGTGTCACACTGGGATGTTTGGGGTGAGGAACTTGTTTGCTTTCTCTGGAAAGGCTCATGCTGGATTTGCTGAAAAAGAGGCAATTAAAGCAGATCTGTTCTTTATCAGAGGGGACAGAGAAAATGGTGAGGAAAACAGACACAGTAGCCTTCCTGGCAGGCCTGTCACAGCCCTAGAAAAACCTGATTCTGAAGTGACTCATCATCAGTAGTTGAAAATATGTCGCAAAATCTTTCTGCCTGTGAGAAGAGTAATATTTTCTGCTTCACAGCATTCCCTGAAAGACAAATCCTTACTGAATTTTAACAGCATAATGATCCTGGCTGTTGGTAGTCTGTACTGCGCTGGTAGCATGTCTGTTGGTCCTGGGATTACATGGGTAAAATAGATGTTTCACAGTCTTTCTTAAAGAAAACCTCAGGATGCTTGGGTGTCTGTTCCTTCCTCATTCCAGTGAGGATGCAAATCCCAAATCTCTGCTAGGTATACAGCTGCCTACAGACTATTTGGCATCCTGTCTGAGGATTAACTGAAACACCTGCTTGAGAGGAGATGCCTCCTCCTGGCATCACTGTCCTTTACTGGCTATGGACATCCATCAGGTCTGTAATCTCACCTAGTGCTAATCTCCCGTCAGCAGGTGCCCACGTTGGGCAATGTACATGTGGAATTGCAAGTGGCCTTTCCAGAATGGTGCTTTGGCATCTACCCCTCCTCATAGCCTTCTCTCAGGGTCGGATCGAGCTCGCACAGAGGCCTCCATGCTGTGGGCCAGATGGGCTTGGCATGGTAATCCCATAATAATAAATGTGAGGGTTGCTTGTTTTGCCTTTGTGAGTGAATGCTGTATGTGAGGGGAGTGCAGTAAGCAAGGATAAGGTGTCCTTCACAGACTTGTCAAATAGAAAATGCGATTTGGGAGGCTGTGTGTGGAAGTGCTCTACAGAGCATGGTTCTCATGGTTCTCCTGAAAAACTATACAGGCAAAGCACTTGGGCAGTGGGAGAAGTTTTACCTGCTGAAGAGCTGCCCCAGGAATGTCTTGCCATGGTCACGGAACAGCTGCAGTACAGAATTTTGTGGACAGTTAAGATGTCATCCAAGCTGGGGCATTTATCTCTCCATCTCTCCTTTGTTTTGTCTCTTTTTTTCTGTTGACTTCTTTGTGTTCAAGCTTCAGACAGTGCAGAGTAGAAGTGAGAAGCTTCCCAGCTCTGTTTGTTAGCCTCTCTTTACATGTTTATTCAGCAGCAGCATGGCTAAAGGTACTACATATTTAGGGTGGAGACCCAAAGTGTCCTAAGAAATATGAAAGATCAAAGGTGTCAGTTTCCTCTTTTAAAATAATAATTTTGAATATTGGGTGTTATTTCAGCTGTAATGCTCTGTATAAACCAAGGATAATTCTAGAAACTTTGCTGTGCTTTCCTATTAGAGCCATGGCTCACTGTATTTGATCTTGGTAAAAACTCAAACCTATATTAAGAGATGGAAAGCCTTAGTGCCATTTGAAGCTAAGCAGACTTGTTTTTGGAAGGTAAAACAAGTATTATATCTTGGCATTATGATTGCAAAGTTTTTCATTTTAGGAGGATATCCAGGAGAGGGAAAAAGCATCTTATTTTATTGGATTCTTTTTTTCCAATGCGCAGCAACCATGATTGCAGGTGACATTGATTGTTTTTCTTTTAGCACCTTCTATGAAGAGACCAAAGCCTCAATATTGGTCACAGGAGCTGAACTAAGCTTATTTTAACAGTATGTGTGGGGCACAGCTCCCCTATATCCTGCCTGCATTTATTGTGGTCATACGTTAAGCTAAGTGTTCAGTAACAACGGATTGACTCTGTATACACACTGTAGTAGGCTTTGAGCTAGCAATTCCCATTCATGTCTTGGGGAGCATAGCAGGTGATTCAGTGAAAACACCTGCTCACTAGAAGGTAAAAGAAAGTCGATTGATATTGGGAAAGGAGAAGAACAGAAAACTAAGAACGCTGTTATGTATGTCCGTGGCTCACCTGCATCTCAGGTATTTGTTCTGATCTCAAACAGGACAGCAGAGCTAGAAGGAGTACAAGCTGTAGAAGGGATACAAGTTGTAGAACTACTCAGGCCAAAACAAAGGTGATCAACTGTATGGAATGGCACATGTGCGAGCACTGACTAGATAGGCTAGGTCTACTCAGGCTGAAAAGAGACATCTAGAGGGCTGTTATAAATGGCTGTAAAGTCTTGAAGTGTCATGGATGTGAGGAGGGGAAGGTGACATGCTGGCTTTCAAAGCTAGCAGACATCAACTGAAATGGCTGGAGTAGCATTCAAAGGTGAAGGAATTAAGTCATGACAGGTTGTCAAGTAAAAATGACACCACTGTGCTTGTGTACAGGAGGTGCCTGAGCCACCGATTTCTGGGAGTTATGAGAGCGTGTTAGGGGCAACTTTCCAATATCTGAAGGGGGCCTAGAAGGATGCTGGAGAGGGACTGTAGTGATAGGACAAGGGATGATAGTTTCAAACTGAAACGGGAAGTTCAGGTTAGATATAGTTAATAAGCTCTTTACTGTGAGGGTGCTAAGGCACTTGCACAGCTTGCCCAATGAAGTGGTAAGTGCCCCGTCCCTGGCAGTGTTCAAGGCCATGTTGGACAAGAGCCTTGGGCAACATGGTCTAGTGTGAGGCATTCCTGCCCATGGCAGGGGGTTAGAACTAGAGTGATCTTAAGGCCGTTTCCAATGCAAACCTTTCTATGATTATATGATTCTGTGATTTGATGTTACTGCATGTGTTTGCTAATACACTGCCTGAACACCAGACAGGAAAGATGGTATTGGAGGATTTCCTCAGAGTTGGTGTGCCTGA